AAATCCCCTTCCCCTGCCCCCCCCCCCCCCCCTACTCTTAGGGAAATCACCTATTATTAGTGCCTATAAAGAAAAAAGTGGGGGTTTATACTTAACCACGCCCTCATCTATTCGTAGCACTTAGGCAAAGATGGGGTCACAGTACGTCTGGCTAGATCCATGAGCATAAAGAGCTGAAAGCTCACAAGGAGATGATCTTGCAGGGGACTGGAGTGTCTTCTTTAGAAGGAAGGTGACATCATGCCCAATGATGTGGAAGACAGGGGTAAGGTAAGTATAATAGGTACATTTTACACCTAGCAACAGCAGGTGGGGTGCTACTACTAGTCACAGTAGGTGAGGAGCTGTTGCTAATAGTAGGTGAGATGCCATTGCTTGTAACGGGAGGTGAGATGCTGCTGCTAGTAAAAGTAGGTGAGGTGATACTGCTAGTAACAGTAGGTGAGATGATACTGCTAGTAACAGTAGGTGAGATGATACTGCTAGTAACAGTAGGTGAGATGATACTGCTAGTAACAGTAGGTGAGGTGCTGCTGCTAGTAACATTAGGTGAGATGCTACTGCTAGTAACAGTAGATGAGATCCTTTCTGAAAACCTCCAAAACTGATTTTTTTTTCTCTGCTATGCAAATGGGCTGGGGAGTTTATATTTACAACAATGAACCCTGACTGTACTGTGTTTGCAGATCTCATTATCACTTGTAAACTAGCTTTGCACAATGTCTACCCTAACAAAGAGTTAAAGATCTAGACGCCTGGCTTCTCCATTGTATGGTAATGAGGGCAAACTTAATTAAAGGTATTGAGGAATGAAAAATGAACTTGGATAATAAATCTGTCTATATGCACTAGAAACCAGGTATACAAAGGTTTTAAAGGTGCTGATGATGCAACCAAATTGATATATTCCCCCCAGTGTGTACCTGGTTTTTATGTGGGGACAGGTTCTCTTTACAATTGTTCACAGTAGCTTGCAGCATGACCAAAAGTCTGCTCCAAAGAAACCTCTAAGGTTATTGGTATTTATATAGCACCAGCCGTTTACGCAGCACACATGCACATCTGTCCCTGCCCTCAAGGAGCTTACAATCAAGTGTCCCTATCTCACATGCATATATAGGAGGGCCAATTTAGGCAGGTGCCAATTAACCTGCCAGCATGTCTTTGGAGTGTGGGAGGAAACCAAAGAACCCTGAGGAAACCCACGCAAGCACAAGGAGAACATGCAAACTCCTTGTAGATAGTGACCTGGCTGGGATTTGGACCAGGGACCCCCTGTGCTGCAAGGCAGAAGTACTACGGTAACCAATACTTCATTGTGCTGCCCAAGATGTGAAAATTATTTTTTTTAAATGATTTTTTAAGCTGCGTGAATGGGAACACAAAACAGCCATATAGAGGATTTCTCAAATTTGACTGAAAAAGTGGAAGTACACTTTCAGTGACTGGATCACCAGAATAGCCAGAAGGAGGTTAGCAACAGCAGCCCCATATTTCTCTTAGGAAAGTTTGTATTATGTGTCAGAGCTCCTGACATTCACATTTTACCCAAGCTCAATCTTCAATGCAAGGACTTGGGAGCAAGGTCAACATTAACTGAATACGGTGATATGTACACAAAGCATCCAATCAGATGTTGCCATTTAGGTTCTAAATTGTACTGCAAAAACCTCTGGAATCCAATAGGTGGCCATGAGCTACACTGACTCTTTGCTTCGGGTTTTATACATGACTATTAAATACAAAGGTATGCTCTAAAGCTGGCCATATACTAGTCGAATTTCATTAAAACATTTTGTTTACTGAATGTTTGTTTTTCTAATAGTTAATGAGGCCAAATCCATGATTGCTTTCGACCGCCGTGATGAAAACAAATCGAAGGGGCACAATGGGAATCCCAACAGTGAATGTGGTTTTCTGTTCATTCTGAAATTGAATATTAAAAACAAATTGGATTTCAAACTATGATCCCCCGGTCTCTGATGGCGTTATCAATTGTTCTGACGAGATTTTTTGTATGAATGTTTGTAAGAAATTCAACCAGTGGATGGCCAACTTAGCAGAGGCTAAGGAAGCACCAACTTCATGGATTGCTACAACAAGTGTTATTCTGTTTTTCCATTGTTAACAAATAATCCTCTCTGACACCTAGAACAACATTTCACCAGTTGAATAACAGTAACAAAACTCCTCATCTTATCACAACATGGATGGACAATTACAAAGTCTCTACTGTAATGTTATTTTTGTTCTGATCAGTGGTTGACCCAGGACTCTGGTTTTGGGGATGCTTCAGACCACTGAAATCCCAATGCATGCCATATCAACTTGTGTCCATGTGTTAAAAGCAGACAGGAGGGTGAAGGGAAAAAAAAGGCACTCAGCACACCCTGGAGATGCCATAAAAGCTTAGCTCATCCCCACCGCTGTCTACTATTGATCCAGACACGTGTGATGACAGTGCCAGCAGTATGGGCAACCCACCACACCCAGCAATACATCATAGCCACTAGCCACATACACAATGCACCATCACTCAAGAGCCCCATATGTCCAGGTGACAGCAGCAAGCCAAGCATCATCCCTTGAGTGAAAGTTTAAATATTAGCCCTGCTCTTCACAGCCAATGACTTTTACATCAAAGAGGCACAAGAAAAAAACTAATGAGGCTTCATAAAGACTTGTCAGCTTCCTCCTGGACTAGGAATCATACAGTAGAATGGCTGTGGAATCCAGATCCACTGTGCATGCCTATAGCAGAAACAAGTCTACAGATTTCTTTTAGAGGACTGTGTCAATTCTTGGCAGAGTAGCCTGAATGAGTATTCATGTTGTCCTATGAGTACATCTTTGCATCATCACAAGCATTGTTTTCCAGCACACATTGCTTTGCATTAGGAGCCTCATAGGAATGCTCCTGCATTAGGCACGTTGCTTTCCAACAATATGTTGCCTTGTGTCTAAGCAGAGTTTCATTAAAAGGCTTAGCCTGGATCACCCTCTTCTTCCACTTATGTGATCGCTGCTAATAGAAATAATCAAAGGGGCTGCAAACAGATCAGATCCAGCTTGTAGGCAAGAAGAGGGGGATGCATGCAGATCGCCATCAAAAGTATCGATTCAATGAATGGAAACAGTGTTGCCCATCAAGCTAGATGCCATAAATACTGCTCAATGACAGGGACCCATGGGGGCTGATCGCTTACTATGTACTAAGATGAGAAAAGAACACGATAGAGTTAAGCAAGAGGCAAAGCTGAAGTATGAAGACAAAGAAACTAGATAATGAGCGACCTCTCTGTGCCCCTCTAGCGATTCCAGCATGACAAATGCAAGCTATTTACCCGATCTCTTGCTCCAGCTCGGAGATGTCAGCCAGGATGAGGAAGACCACTAGGAGGGTGACAGTGACAAGTACCCAGCTCCTGAAGTCCGGATTCATGGCTACGCTGCTGTTGGCGAGCCCTGGCAGTGCAAACCAGCGAGGTGAAGGTGAGAGAGCTGTCAGTCTAGTAGCAAGTCAATCCGGGCTTGAGGCAAAGAGCAGACAGGTCCCCCTTTATTCTTCCTGTGCTGAGTGCAGGTGGAGATGGAGGGGGGGAGCGAATCGTTGTCACCTATCATCAGAGTGCATGCTGCTCTTCTCACAGACACTGGCAAAGAGAGAGAGATCCATGCAGAGCACTGACATCCACTGGCTGACACAGAGATCCTCCCTCTTCCCCCTCCTCTCCTTCTCTGCTCCTTAAACTTAGTGTAACAAAGGAGAAGTGCTCACCTGGGAGCGGGCACCAAGAGCAGGCAGGGACTCTCAGTAAGAGAAAGCAATCAGGGAGAGAGGATGACAGCAAGTAACACAGATACACATTGCCTAGAGGAATTAGAGAGGGGTGGGTTACATAACATGCACTGGAAGCTTGTGTCTGGCATTATGCTGATGTGATATTATAGTGCCATGCACCTTGTAATATCTCTTGTAAGAAAATGTTTGATAATGGTTGAGAAAGTGCAGGGATCGTTAGAACGCTTGTTGGTAAATAGGAGTGGGCGCTGGAGTTGGGTTGGCTATAGATTCTAATGGTCCTGATGGTGACAACGCCACCAGTGTTATAACATCTGCAAAGGAGTGCCTATTCCTTCTATACAGAAAAAACATATAAACAGCGCTCTCGGATGGGCAGCAAATTAGCTTAAAGGCGTGTGTGCAGCCCTGGGAAACAGGAGGAGAACCTGTGGATTGTGAATATTCAAAAAACCATTCTATACTCAGCCTATAATATTCAGGGTTGGGCAACTCTGGTCTTCCAGCTGTACTTTAAAGTGACACTAAACCCAGAAGTTAAAGGAGAACTATGGGGCAACCTATTTTTGCCTATAGTTCTCCTTAGAATCATGGGAGGACATACTGTATACTGTGTCCTCCAGTGTTTTTCACTCAACCCATAATTCTCCTTTAAATCTTAAAAAACACATTCAAGTACCTTAACTATTAACAAAAATGTAACTTATTTGTATCACTCAGCTGTAGATCCTCAAATCATCTCTGAATTGGTGCTGACACCTTTCCTTCTGAAGGATGGCTACTTTTAATACCCATGGTCCCTGGGTGTGTTGTAAAGTAGTCACTGCTCCAAGCTGGCTCCTGTGATGGACTACAATCTCAATAGAAATTAGTAAACTAAACATGAGATTGTAGCTCATTACGGGAACAAACTTGGAGCGGTGATTACTTTACACACATCCTACAGAAGGAAGGACAGCGTCCGCACCATTTCAGAGATGATTTGAGGATCTACAGATGAGTGATACACAAGTAAGATACATTTGTGGTAATAGTTAAGGTACTTGAATGTATTTGTAATATTTAACTCCTGAGTTTAGTGTCACTTTAACTGCAAATTCCAACATGCCTCTGCCTCTGGGGGTCATGCCTGTAACTCAGTCTTGCAATGCCTCATGGGACTTGTAGTTCCACAACAGCTGGAGGGCCAGATAAGCCCACCCCTGGTCTATATGGTATAACTAAGTTATCTTACAAAGGAGTGAATAAGCCTTCATTTAAAGCTTAAAGGAGAATTATGAGGTGAGTGCTTTTCACTCACCTCATAGTTCTAGCCGACCTGTGACAATGAGACTGTCACAGGTCGGCTCAGTAGATCGAGAAGTGAGCGAACACATACTGGCGTTCGCTCACCTCTCCATCCTGTCACAGCTCTCTGCCGTGGCAGGGGAGGGGCTGGATTCCCCCCTCCCCGCTCCGAAATGCCAGCGCTGACTGGCGGATCGAACGGGGAGGGGGCGGGAACAGCTGGCTCTGCCTCTAGATAGGCAGAGCCAGCTGTCACTCACGCAGCTGGGCGGATCCATACATAATTGTCGGGATCAGCTTCAGCTGCGGCGTCTCAGTATACTGCGAGGAGCAGCTCGTGGTGTACTGTGGCGTCTCAGTATACCGCCAGCTGTAGCTGGCGGTATACTGAGGTTAGGGTGACGGGAGGACGCTAGTTTGTGGCCTCCCGTTACCCTAAGGAGAACTATGGGTAAAAGCCCTAACCCCATAGTTCTCCTTTAAATCTAGGCAGATATAAAAGACACAAATCAATGCAGCATTGTAACATATTATTATAATGTTAGATGTATTTTTAAAATACAAGCAGTGTAAGCACCTGACTTTGACTTGACATCGGCCTCTTCCAGTTCACTGTACAGCAGGGCTTGAGTGTGAGAGGGAGAAGCAACACTAAGAGTCAATCAGTTCATGTCCTGACAAGAAGCACACTGATAGGAGAAAAAAAGCTGAGTGATATAGAGATGAGCTAATCGCTCTTCTGCTTTTCCTTTCACTGTCCAATCACAGCCTAGGGGTGGATGCAGTATGACCTGGGCTTAGGGGAAGTTGGTTGAGTGATGCTGGCCATTGCGCTGAGGACATCTAGTGGCAGAAAAAAGTACTGGAAGAAAATTTCTGTATTGAATGTGAATATTGCAACAAGAGATAGATTTGTTGCTTTATCTTTTAATGGGCTGTTCATTTTTATCTTGTTGTTTGTGACTGAAGATCGTCTTTAATCCATATACAGAGTCATTGAACAAATGCTAGTTAGGAGGATAAAATTAATTCTGTTAAAGTAGATCTAAACCCTGAACTCAGTGGCATTTAGTTTGCTAAAGTACTGTGTATCATAAACAAGTTTTTTTGTTTTTTTTTGTAGTATTGTTTTCACATTTTTTGTATCCTTATTTATATCTGATTGTCAGCACAACATTTCTCTGGACCGGCTTCCTAATAGTGACATTGGTGTCAGCATGGCAGCCTGTAATACAAGCAGGGGTGTATGTGACTGGGTAAAAATGCAGGATCACAATTGGGAGATAGGGCCAGAGCATTGTCACCACATAATGGTAACTGCCTGCACAACAGCCTTCATTCTAGATTACTAGAATGAAGGAAAGCTCCAGCCGGGAGCTTTACAGTCAAGCTGCTCGTCGGGCTCGTCGGGCTCCACCGTCCTCTCGTCGTACTATATGTATATATCTATATATATATATATAGATATTAGGGATGTCCCGATGCCACTTTTTTAAGACCAATTACAAATACTTTTTCTTAAAGGGACAGGTGACATTTAAAAAAAAAAACATTTGACTCACCTCTGAACTCCATGTTCACAGCTAAACTCTGTAACCCTCATTCAGAGCTCACCTTTGCCCCCTCATTCACAGCTTACCACTATACCCCCTGTCCACAGCTAAACTCTGCTCCCCCTCGCCACAGCTTACCTTTGCACCACAATTCACACCTCACCTCTTCACCACCCAGCCACAGCTCATCTCTAAATCCCCGTCCACATCTCAGCACTTCTGCCCCTCCCCCTCACTCCAGCTCTCCTCTGTACCCACTTCCACAGATCAACAGTGGGTGGAAGCAGCCTGAGCACCCAGGGATGTGGGCATGTGCCCTGGGTGCTTGACGGTACTGATACCCATGGTGCATACACATAGGAACAGTGAGGACCCCTTATCGTGAGCAACTATTGACTGTCTTCTTTGCCATCCCAGCACAGGCCCTTACTCACTCTTGCCTGTTCAATGGAGGTGCCTCACGAGGTGCCGAATGCTTTTTTTCTCCTTTTCGAGGACGTTGGCGGTGCTGAGCGGCTGAGCGTCGCGTCACTGTTGTGGGCGGAGTCCTCTGGGCAGTCGCTGGCCAACCACATTAGGACCCCACCTGGAGCGCCGCCCACAGCAGTGACGCGACGCTCCTCCAGCCTGCCCAGAGGACGGTAAAAAGGACCCCATACAGTCTGCTTATACTTCAGCAAGTAGACAATATGACAATGTCTCACCAACTCAAGGTTGTCACATATACTTAATGTGTCACAGTCCCAGGACTTTAGGGATTTTCATCAGCAACCTCCTCAGAAGTACTCTGTACCCTTTAGAAGCTCTCAACTCTTCCACACATCCCTCGTGTGTCACAGGCTCACTAAGCCTCCTTGACTGTCTCCCAGGTGCATCCAGCACACACACAGCCACCTGGCTCCACTCTGGGTGGAGTCCTCCTGACTCCTGAACACAATCTGTTTCTGTTCCCAGCAGGAGACCTGACCATCAGCTAGCATGCTTTCCATAAGGGCTGTGCACAGGTGTACAATCACTAGGTGCTGGCCACTACTAAACCATTGACCCAGGAATGGAGATTTCATCCCTCCCAATTCTCTTTGAAATCTCCCAGTTCCAGGATCACATGCCAAATCCAGAAAACTGCAAAGACTGTTTCGACACTTGCTTTGATGTGCATCTGATTCTGTAACTTTTTGTAAGTGTTTTTATATGTTTTACTAAAGCAGTGTTTGTATACATTACACTATATACTGTCCACTATTTTATATGGTCGATTGAGTGAGAGTCCACTGGGAGTCGGTGGAAATAGTCTTGGTTTCAGATCAGGGGAAGGAAATGTTGGGATCCTGTGGAGACAGCAGATGGGGATCAAGATTGGATTTTGACCATTTTGGGCAAAGAATCTGGTGAGTACATTTGCATGTTGTCTAACATCAGACGAGATATAAAACTACAATCTGCACTACTTGGAACTTTGGGCACAATCTCATGGTTCATTAGGAACTTTGAATAGTGGATTTTATGTCTGTGATCACTGTCGGATGGACTTTGAAGTGATTAACACGCCACTGTTGGCTTACACAGCTTGAAAGTTTTTCTATGTGGACTATTCAGTATTGAAATATCAATTCACGTATTGGATTTAATCAATACATTTATATTTATATATTTATGTACACTAGGAAATATTGTGCCTGTCGCTGAGATCTTTGTCACTTGTACCTGTTTTTGTGAATTATTGTGCCACTCAAAAGCAATGAAGGGTTATGTGTCCATACTTGCAGAACATGTAAAATAATAAAGGAAGAACTTTATATGAATCCTAACTTTGAAAGAACTCTGGTTAAATTTTTTCTCTCAAAAGTAGAGTACCCCATAATTTTCAATTACTATACTACAATAAGCCAAAATCACTTCATTGTGTATAACAATATCTCTAATAAATTACAGTTTGTGCTGCCACAGTTGAAGTAAAGCGTTGCTACGTGATAAAAGCTATTTAACTGTTTTGGTTATTGAATGCACCATTTGGAAGAATGGAGTTCTGTTCCATCCAAGCTTGTAACAGTAGCAAATGCCTCCCAGTGGCGGCAGCTCTCCTGTTGTAGACACAGATAGCTACTGCAAACAATGTAATTCAATCCATCGTATCTTGCAAATCCCTAAACAGATGCTGGGAATTGATTTTTAACTCTTAGGACAGAGTCTTATGAATCTTAATAAAAAAAGGAA